AGTTATTTTGCAATTTATCTAATTTCGTTATAGAGACTAAATAATCTTATCACATTTCGTTGACTTATGTGATCTATTGTGAAATATCTTATGCTTGCCTAGTGCTGACTATCTCTGACTATCGCACTATGGTTAATATTTTGCGATGTAGTTCAGTCTGAATGCTGTTTAGGAAGCATAGTCGATAGGTGCTAAGTCCTAAATATAACTTTCTTCAATGTTAAAAAGTACTAGTTCAGTGCTTTAGAAACACAAAGAAAAAGTTAGAAACATTTCTTCAATACATAAATATTTTTTATGTTAAAATTTATTAATATTTTTATATTTTATGTATGACTGGAAGTCATATATTGCCTTTAAGAGAATATATATAGAAAAATTATTATTGGCTTTAAACTGCTATGTACCCTTGTGTATTTTTCAAAGTCAATAATAAATATTTAAATTCAAATATGTATTAAGAAGAAACCCGATTGTCTACAACAACTTGAAAAAACTTGGCGCCTTTTTATTTGTTACTCTTTTCTTCATAACTGCTGGCTGCATGCCATGTTCTGGAAAGTTAGGCATGTCTATGCATATACTGCATTACTCGGCGGCATTTTTTGCAAAGAACACACCTACTTCACATGAAATATGTTACGTCTGCTCTGCTTACACATTTCCATATATCAATTTATACTCGTACATTCTGCATACGGGAACAACAAGTGCCTGTCATACATAGTTTATTTTAGTTTCTAGCAATAAGACTGCTAATGTATTTTTTAATTGAAAACATTGGTACATGTGAGATCACATAGACTAGGCAAAGGGAGAAGTTCGAGAAACTCGTTTCCAGCAATTTCAATTTGAGTATGAAGAGGAATGCCTACTTACATTTCTGTTATGTATAAAATTGGTGGGCAAGTAGCGCGACTTGAGGAAGTTATTTCATACAAACGTAAGGGTAGATGTACTTCAATGTGGATATTGTAGCTTTACCACAAAATATTGTAGTCTTCATATTAAACTACTTCAGTTTACATATTTCTTCTTTTTAGCTCAATATCAATAATTAAGAACACAGACATCAGCATGCAAACCAACTCGATTCAATTAGGCACGCATTTCGTTGCTACTGTGTCTACTGGTTGAGGCCAAGTTTGTTGGCATTTGCGGAAATGGTTCCGTACCTTGGATAGTGCCCAAATTATGTATCGAAACTGCTTTTTTCGTTTTTACCAAAAGCATATATTATATCTGATTATGGCACAATATTTTGCGTATTAGCATTTTGCAGATACAAAGGAAATCAAAATAAGTCTTATAAATTCTGAAAAGTGTATTTGAGAAATAACAGAAATCAACACAGAACCAAAATATAATTAAGAATAATGATACACTAATGCAGCACTCGCCCAGAAGCAAAAAAACTAACAGAATTTTTTGAGACGCGCACTTTTTCGTTGGTCCAGAGTGATTAAGAACACCTTTTTTTAGAGTTTTGTTTCTTGGGTTTGTTGGCCCTTTGGCTGACTAAGTTTTTTTTAAACAGTTTGTATTGTAATAAATAAAGAATTAAAAATAATTTGAATTTTAAAAAATTTTCTACAATTTCAATTAAAAAATTTTTATATTGTTTTTATAATTTAAACGTGACTTTTCGTTTCGTTGAGAAGAGCCCGCAGCAGCGGAGACAAAAAAAAAATAAATAATAATATTTCTTGTTTCAGTTTCTTAAGAATGTGATTCAAATCAAACTCAAAATTTTATAAATGAGTAGAATAATAAATGAGTAGAATTAGAAAATACGGTGCTTAGTGAGAAGATAGCTTGCAGAACCAATCGAATCAATCGGTTCTGATAAATGTCCAACAGTTAATTAGAAGGCGCCTCCACGTAACCAGTGGCAAAATGGAAGCTGAGTATTATTTTATTATGAACTCAAAAGGCTTTCATCAAGATCCATAATTTACAACGAAGAAAGGGCTTGTCTCCCAAAATACATAAATATTGAGAAAGGCTACATAAAGTAAAATAACGTTGCGCATCGAACTCTGCAGTAAGGGCATCAACGGCCAAAATGAAAGTGGTTCATCTGAAGAGAGTTCAAGGTTTACGACATTGCAATAGGATAAATTTAACTGTTTAAACTGACAAGTATTAGAATTATATAATTATATTGAAAATTATAATGGAAAGTTTGGTTTTTCGCATTAGATTCTATTGTGATAATATCTCTGAAAAATAATAAAGAGTTGTCTAAAGCAATAAAGTCTTTTAATTACAAAATCCTGCTATTTTGTAACAATATAACAAACTAGACATTTAGAACATGACAACTACTATTCTGCTAAGTTAATCTATTAAAATAAACAATTCTTTTCAGATATTGGAATTATTGGCTCCTTTAAAATATTTTAAACTTTTAAACTATTTTAGAACTCTTGCTCACATTGAAAATTAAAAGTTTGTGTCTTAAGTCTTTTATATCGAAAAAAGCCGAATGGTGTACGGCAACATTTTAGAAGATACAAATCTTTTGATATAATCGAATCGAATTAAACTATTCTTATAATCAGTTTTCGATTTTTATGATTTATTCCTTTTTAAGAAAATTGTATCGCATTATGCAAATGAAATCTAACAAAAGTTGAGAGCACAATACCTTGCAGCTTCATATTAGTTAAAAGCATGGCTAGTAGTTGCAACAAACTTGTTGCTCTGTTACGTAAAATGTTGCAAGTATCTGCAAATAAATGCAACAGCACACAACAAAATACATGTATAAGATTACCAAGATACTTAAATGGTCACTGATTGAGTTGAGAATGTTGACACGCCATGCTTGGGTGCTGGTACCATAACGAAGGTCTTCGCATGTAAAATTATTGTGTAAAGAAGAAGCCAGTCAACAAAGCGAAAAAAATGATTCCCTTTTTTCATCATTTTGCCTAACATTATGAGAAATATTATATAAAAAACCATCTATGCCTATATATGTGTGTGAATATTAAATAAAAAGTGTGAAATACGTAAGTTGATATGCGTAACATACCAAAGTAAGTTGGAGTGATGCACTTATGAGCAAACATGTACACAGGATGTGGTCATGTTCGCCATTGAGTTTGGCTGAGCATGCGTTACTTTCGGTAAACAATACAGAAAATGACTTCAAATTTCAAATTGCAAACAAAAGCAAGGCTCGATTTCAGTGCATAAAGCGCTGTGCTTGAAAGTGCTCCATGAGCAGAGCTTGTAGATACATGAACGCAACATTTAAACGTGTTTAGGCTTACAAATATGCATTGTATGCATATTAGGTAAGGAACTACAGGTAACATGGTAAGCAGTAGTGGATTCAAAACCTTGCAATGTGTCGAAACTAAGTTTTATATATAACGTTTACGTACTTGCAGAAATGTATGCATACCTGATTTTCTCTCCTTTTCTATAATTGCACGTATTTACTCTGCAATCACAATATTTTGTGTCTTCATAAAAAATTATATATTTTTATGCAACGTCGTGGTTCTACCACTGTTTACCAACTTTAGTATATTTGCCTTTCATAAATATTATTATTGACTTACGTTGCATATTCGTAGGTATATTTCTTTTGCAGGTTTTGTCTTTATTTACTCTGTAGTCGTATCTTTAAAAGTCATTTCGTACTAGACGTTGTTTTTATTTTCGCTTAGAATGCAATCAATCATTATATCAGATATTTGCTTTGCACGCGAATATTTGGAGTGCTTACATCTCAACTAAATTGGCTTATTTAGTCAATGTTATTCTTGGGATGTTACGAAGATTGTTTGTTCTTTCTTGGCAGTTAAGCAATTTAAATTGACAATGTGTGAAAGAAAATTACTTATAGTATGTCATAAATGTAAAGAATGCATGCAATCGTCTGCCTCTTCTCTTAAATTGGCTTTTTATGTCTATGTCTTTGTGGTTTTACAATTTATCCCACGCAGCATTTGCGAAAAGTTCATTAGAATTCAACCACAGTATGAACTTCATAGTAAAATCAATTTTAAAATTATTCTTCAGTTTTAAACATGAGAACAATTGATAAAGTTAACAATAACTCTGAGTCTAAAAACTCAACATTAATCGATCTTTCAAAACATCCTCAGAGAGAAATGGTTAAGTTATATACATTCTAATTCTGGAATCAATGAAACCAGTTAACATTTTTTATACGGATTATTGAAACGATTTTCTAAAGTTTTAAAGCGATTCTGATTTCTAGATTGAGTGAATGTGAAATTTGGAATTAATTTTGTTTTAGATGAATTTAGAAAGAAACGGGAATTTGGTTCTCAAGAAGCGAAACACTGGGGCCATATTATATAATATCAGCTGATGTCAACTATATCGAAGATATGTATCTGCTCTATGCTATGATTCTAACTGCGGCTGAAATAAAAACTTTACTTAAAGAGTTGAAAATCATGCCTCAATTAGTAATCAAAAAATGTGAAGAAGATTGGATCAAATGTAAAGTTACATGGTTCCGAAAAAGTGTTTTGGAACTAATAAAACAAATTTGCATTTTAAATCGATTCAACTACCCATTGACTGCCTTCATTGACTGAATGTAAAATTGAGAATTACTGGATTGGTACAAACGAATATTTTTGAGAGGATTAGGTCTAACGCTAACGTATCCGTCTTACACTCAATGAGCAAGACGACTTAAAGGTACCTTAAAGGTAACAATAAACTTTGGATAATTATGAACTTTTCTTTTGCTTTTTTAAATAATTCCGGTCAATTTTAATACAGACTATATTCCACATAATCCTAATTTCAAACGTCCTATTCTTTAAATACAGATTCTGATGTATAAATTTCGTTATGAGAAGTACAGTTTTCTATTGGCACATATTAATAGTTATAAATCGTCACTGTCAATTAACTATATATTTGTAAGCAATAGATTTAAAAATTAATTACTCGCGTTTATAAAAAAAAAGAGTTAAAATAATAGTATGAAACCAAACACTTACTCATCGTTACTGCTATCCACTTGATCATTTGTTATTGTGGTTTGTTCAACATGCTCACTTCCCAATGTCATATCAATTTCATCCTCATTAAAAGTGAAACTGATATCGTGGGCATCCTTAAAAGGCTTCATGCTGCGCGGTAAGCTACGATTTCGTAAATTCATATTAAGGAACTGCAAATCGTTTTCACTTAACTGTAATTCCGGCGTAACGGGTACCGCATGATTTTTAAATTCACTATTCGGCCGCGGTGCCGGTAGTGGCGGTTGCAGCAGTTTTTTCTTAGGAGGCAAGGCAGGTCGTGGCTCATCAAATTGCAGTGTAAGTGACGTTTGTTCCGGGGTTGATGGTGCAGTTGGCAGATGATGTCCAAAATCTGTATTGAATTGATTTGGCTCTCCATCATCCTGATCAACGTACCTATTATAGTATTTAGTTATATGCTCTGTTGTATCAGCAGCGTATCGTTTACCGCGTATAAGATCACCTAAATGATCCTCATCAATACCGAAGAGAAATGGATCATCTAACACGGTTACCTTAGCATCAGCTTTTGTTGCCTCACCACGTAATGTATTTATTGACTTAAGTATATCCAAAGTTTCTTTGGCGTGCTTACTTGACTTCAATGCTTTGTTATTTATATCAGCATCTGTTGCTGTTGCTGTTCCTTTGGCGTACGCTTCACGCAAGGATTTCAAAAGCTTCTTACCTTTTCTTGTTGTACTATTACATTTCGATGGAAATAATGCAACTGGCGTTTGGTTATCTGTACCCACTGTTGATGCTGCTGCTGGTGTTGTTGTTGTTGCTGTTGTTGCGATTTGTTGTTTTTTGTTATATTTAATTTTGTCTACAGCTACTTCAGCATCATCTATATCAAATTCTAGATGCAGATCTGGTTCATCTAATTGCGTTTCGATAAAATCAGCGACAGTATCGTAGTTAACTTGTTTATTGTTGTTGTCAATTTCATTACAAGCATCATTTGTTGCATTTGCTGTTGTTTTTCCTGCTGCCGTTGAGGATAATGCCAGCCTTTGTGCTGCTGCCTTGCCATAAACTTGTCGATAATATTTTTGCTGATCGCCATACAAAAAGCAAACACGCCACCATTGTTTGCATGCCAGCAAATTGGCGGTACGTGGCACCACAGGCTCAATTGATGATGACATGGTCTCCATGTTGTTCTTGGCACAGCCAGCCAGACGCTGTAATTTTGCTGGTGTAATGTCTTTGGTTGTTAGTCTTGTGTAGATTATTAAAATTATAAATAAATTTTATGGTCTGCGCTTTTTGGTGTGCTGTTTAGTTTATGCGTCCACAAATGTGTTCATGTTGTCCTACGGCGAGCTGTTAAGTCTTTAACTACAACTTTTACCTAAATAAATTTTTGTGATCTTAATACATTTATCATATATAAAACACTTTTAATACGGCAAAATATCATTGTCACATATTTCAGATGCTAAGTGCGAGAAGCTTACGTTTAATGCGCGTAATTGGCTCACTTGAGGCGATTTGTGGAAAAAGAATTTCAAACTACAATTTTGAAATGATTTCAAAAGAGAGAAGGATCAGTAGTAGGTTTAGTTACTTTACAGGGTCATCAATATCGATAGAAAATAGTTATTTGAGTTTTTTATATATATTTAGTGTAAGTATGAAATATTATTTATTTTACAAAAAGAAAAATCATTCCGAACTAAAACTTAGAAATGATTTCAAAAGAGAGAAGGATCAGTAATAGGTTTAGTTACTTTACAGGGTCATCAATATCGATAGAAAATAGTTATTTGAGTTTTTTATATATATTTATTTTAAGTATAAAATATTATTTATTTTACAAAAAGAAAAATCATTCCGAACTAAAACTTTAAAATGGTTTCAAAAGAGAGAAGGATCAGTAGGAGATTTAGTTACTTTACAGGGTCATCAATATATTGAAGGCAAGTATGAAATAACATTTCTCCTGCATAAGAAAAAGTATCTTAAAAATAAAAATAAAGTTTCAACATGTAAGAGAACTTTACTTGACTTTATATTAGTATTTAAACTTATTCTTTGACTAATGAAAATGATCGTTTTCAGACTGGAAGCATCGAATAAAACTCAATGAATTTTTTAATTTCTCAAAGTTTTCACTTGAATCTCAGCATAAATTTTCTTATAAACAAATAATTGTTACTGAAAAATAATTGCTTTTAATATAATTAACTTCTTATCACTAAGTGATATATCTTTTAACTAATTAGTAAAAATTAATTGTTTTGCCATTATGAAAGGCATGACCTGCTGAGATAACTTGTGGTAGTGAAAAAAATTCCAAGTTTAAGTATGAACTAAGTTTTATAGGATTTTGTACTAATACCTAGAATACTTAAAAGCAAAAGCAGTCATTTTAATTAATATGAGGGTTAGAAAATTACAGAGAAAGGATTAAAAGAAAGTATTATATGTTTTTTTGTGATAGCTTTATACAAGGTTGAAGTTAAGTCTTAGAGATTGAAGTACTCATTAAGTTTTATAAGACTTTTTACCAGCACTTGGTTAAAATACTTAAAGGCTCAAGTATTCATTCAAATTAGTATGAGGGTAAGAAAATTAAGTAGAAAGTAATCAGTTGCATAAAAAATTGTGATAGCTTTCGAAGAGTTCTCATAGCATGACACTAAGTTCAACTGCATCATGTATATATATTAGACTTATATAGGAAATAAAATAAAAAACTTGAAAGTATTCACTATTTGAATTGATATTTACAAGAAAGTGTTAGCAAATTAAAGTTTTAATTAGTCAAATACTAGTACAGGCTAAAGATATACAAGATTTTGGCAAAACACACATTATCTACCGAGAAAGATACTATTTAGAAACGCTCAAGTATGTACCAATATATATATATCACATTATGCAGGTATATGAAGACAAGAGAAAAGACTTATTTCTGAGTTTATAGCGTAGGGAAAAGAAGCGATATCATTTATAAAAAGTTAGCAACCAGTTAGAAGGGTATTTACTTTAGAAAATAAGGTATACTTTTTTAACTTAAGTATGTGTTTAGGTGTAACACCTCTGGGGAAAATGAAAGAATTTATGCTAATGCCTAAATAAATAGGTTCTTACTGTATTTATAGAAATAATTCATTTAAGTCTCTTGTTTTATGATACTTTCACATTCTAATAGTTCTACAGCTATTATGAAGAAATGTACTTAAATTAGTTTAGAAATATAGACCAATGAATTATATTTACAGCATAAAAAACATTGATTGTAATTTATGACACAAAGAGTATGTTATAGTGTTAATTTTAATAAGGAAATCTAACCGACTGACCTATTTCTTTTATAAAATATTAAATTTTTGGCTATCTATTTTTCACTCTATTATTTTCTTTTATTAATAGAAAATACATTTTCTCATAGAACAGAGAACTGTTTTTGGAAAGTCAAATGTCAACTGTAATTTGAATTTAAATAAAAACTTTCAAATTAACTCGTAAAGCAATTGGGCGCATTAATACTCGTATTGAAAAATGAAAGATAAATTGATTGTCGATCCGAAAAGGTTAACAGTAAAAATTACTTTCTCGCCAGACGAAATAATGGCAACAATAGAAAAAAGTAAAGATTTTTATTGATTACCTGTGCATTCATGAAGCGCTGGGTATGTGCATTAGCTGGAAGCTTCAGCCAAAGAATGCATTAGAAATCAATTTAAAATGAATTTTACTATTCTTTTGTTCCCGCATAACAAAAGCCATGCAACTCATTAGAAATTCCAGTTAAGATCACTGCAGATCAGCCATTGAAATGAGTTTTTAGTCTGTTGTGCCTTTGATGGAATTCATGTTCACTTAATAACAACAACAATGACTGACAATAACAATGAAAATAACATCAAACATCACACTTTATGCATTGATTTAGTTCGCAAACATGATTATGATGTTGATCGTCTGAATGATTATTACCTTTATACTCGTAAAATAGTTGCCAAAGATAGTAACATGGGATTTTCTATACGAGGAGTACGATCGATGCAGCAAGTGAAGATAGTAAGTACTCTGCTAAAAATATTTTGTACTCAGTTGGGATGTAGCAGTGTTGCGGCTTCAATGCAGATTTGAAGTCATGAATCGATTCTAATGGCAGCATCAGTCAATTCAGAACGAAATTGCTGCAAAATACAAAAGATGATCAATGATGTTGCTTTTGGCATTGATTGCCACTGAATGAAAATACGGAAGCAGTATGTGAAATCGTGCAGTAAAGTTCTTTAAAATAAATTTATAATGTAGACTACATCGAATATAAAACTGAAGTACTAGTGATTCTGGCAGGAGTAAACTAAAGTCATTAGGCAGAAAATTTATTCGGCTTGAAATAATAGTAGACGTTATGATCATAATAAATGAATCTTTGTTAATAAATATAAACAAAATACAATTTTAGGTTAAGAGAAAAATAATCTCACAGCAAATATTCTAGTAATTCGGGGGTCAAATTTAATGGATTAACAGTAATAGGAAATCTTTTTAAGTTAATTATAAAGTCTTATTCTATCATAGTAGTGTGGACTTATCGGTTAGGTGATTTAGTTTATCTAAAATTTCGTTTATTTTATTTGTCAGAAAAATATTTTTAGTAAGAAAAGTTTTGGACTAACCTATAAATATTTTTTTTAAGAGATATACTTAAAAATATTTTTTTTAATTGGATGGATATTTTTTTATTTCAAGTTTTATATTAAAAATTAGCGTTAAATAAAATCGAAAAATAAGACTTAAATTTATAACTAGATTTATAATGCAATGAACGAACAAAAAGAGGAACACTATTTAAACAATTTCAATTTATCTAAATTTATGGCAAATATATATGGCATACTAAGGCTGTGTGAAAAACTCCATGACCCAATATAAAGAAATCTCTGAATGGTTACAAGCTCCTCGGGGGGTCAATTAATTCTTAGTCTGATGAAGTGATAAACAATAATCCAGTCAAGGCGCAAAGAGGGGTTTTGAAGAAATCTCGCAGTTAATAGAGAGCCTCAACATAATAATACAAACAAATATTAGATACTTTATAAAACGCACCTTACTGATTTTAGCATATACGTACAGTAAGTAAAAAGCTAGCGCCCAAATATGAATAGATACTATAACATAAATATACCCTAGACGTGCGTCTAGAAGTATCTAGAAGTATTGGGTAATCGCTCAGCGCATGTTGGGTGGTGCGTTTAACCAACAGGTTTATTTATGCCTTGTCGCAATCTACTGAAAACTTTATAAATAAGTAAGTTAAAATAGGTACGATACCTAAATAGAGCCAATAAAATTTTTAACCAAAAGAAGCATCATATTGAAACGAGGACTAGGTAAAATTATATTGCTTATGATGACGGTGATGATAATGATGTATATCAATGAACAAATAAATTTTTTTTTTGAGACTGTAATTTATAATAGTGTCATCTGCTAAGTTCTAATAATATAATATTTTACAGGGAATACTACGTATAACGATTTAGGGTGTTTATTATGCCAATAATACAATAAACGTAAATTTATACTTAAATAAGGATTTGCTATTAAAAAGATAGTATAAAATATAACAGAAATAAACAGGTTATCGTCTCCTAACGGAGTGGAGCACTGCGACCATAGTTGATCTTTTGTGCTGCTACAGACCCTAACCGAACAGAAGACATTCCACGCTTTGAATGAAAGCCAAAATGTCAGCCGTTGAGGACCTAGTAATGTCAGAAGGGGAAGGTATTTCGCGATTCCTTATCCAGTAATTTTAAAAGTATTTCAATTTCTAGTACTACTTTAGTGTTCATTATCGAATGCTCAATGGTTACTAAACCTAAGTGTGCGTTATAAAACTGGGTCTACAATTAGCTTTTCTTATTATTGTACACATATTATTGAAATTTAATTATTAAAAATTAATCGCAGATTAAAATATTGACAGGTAAAATAAAAATATATTAAAGCTCTAATATCTAGTGAGACTTCTTACCAATTACTAGCTCTGTTTATATATGTGTATTAATCTCTCAAGCCATATGTGTGAAAATGCATTTAATTATTCGAGTTGAACTCATAAATTATCTAAGATTTGCTTAATGAAGTTCGATTTGTTTAAAGTGATAAGTATAAAGGTTTGATTTTAATAGTATTGAGAAGAAAAATGATTTAATTGAGTTCAGAAGTCAATTAATTATAATTTCAATAGGAATCTCCTATAATCTAAATTGCATGAAATTATTAATAAACATGTTGATTGCATTGCTCAGCGTTGTGTTTGTTTTTTGTTGTTGATTTTTTTAGAAAATAAAAATGCAATTAAGTTTCGTGCTTATTGTGGAGCTACTGAAGAATCATCTTCGTGGTTTACGTGTTTATATTCTAGCATTAAAAAACCATTTAAGCAAGTACATTTGTTAGACTTTTACGAGTACATTAAGCATAGAAGCATTAGCCACTCTTCACAATTAGACACACCTCAAACAAACAGCAGAATAATGGCCTGAGAAGAACGGCACTAACATCAAATAACAGACAACGGACAACAGGCAACGGGCAACAGGCAACAAACCGATTGACTAGCTAACTAAGCCAACTAAGTTCCAACAAACGGTTCAGCCAGCCAGCCATTAGAATGTAACAACAAAATGCAGTTTAAATGCTTAATACACGTTAAGTGCTTTTGCGATGCCCTTGTCAGATTGTAATAACTTCATCATCAGCTCCATTTCGGATGCAGCATGCACTCCGCTACAATTGCCCCGCCAGTTCTAACAGTAGAAAGAGCTTAGCTGGCATTATTCGTAAATGGAGAGCAATTCATGTTAATATTTTAGTATAAAAAGGCGCAAAAATTGTGGCATTAACGTTAAGTGCGTTTGTGTGTATTCATGCTCGACTACGGCAGTGTGAGTATGTGGCGCTGTATCTGCACGCCTAACAACTCATACCGTTTTTATCTGAGAAATTGCGGGTTTATCATGGCAGATTGTGGTTTCGGCTTAAGTAGCTTAAGGTAGTGTGATTCAGCAGCTCATTGAAGTACAAATGCTTTAGAGAAAATATTTTTCAAAATAATTTATGAATTCAGTTTGAGATTTTCATGGTTACACGAAAGTTTTTCTGTGTACTTCAGATACATATTTGCATGTTATGCACAAAAGAGTTTGTAAGGTTTATGGTATGAATTCAAATTAAATCTGAATCTGAAAAAGTGGATTAATTATTTTATTGAAGTATATAAACTTATATTCCGAAACTGAGAGGTTGAAAGGTACATAAACAAATTCATTTTCTTCGATTTTAGTTAAGAGTTCATACTTCCATAATTTCATTAATTATTATAAAAAATGATTTTTTCAAATCTGTGTAATATAAAATACTAAAATACGGATATATACAAAAATTTAAGGGACTTAATTATGAAAAATGTATTTGAATCCAAATGAAACACGAAAGTGACTTCGGAAGTACATTCTAGAGCACGAATTATTAACCAATTAATCGAATATTTAAGAACATATTCCTGAAGAGGGAGCTCTGACGAAAATAAAACCAATTAACCAACACCATTCCTCACAAGTGGTACGGTCACTATGGGATTTTAAGAGCTTAAGTCAACTATTCACATAAACTAATGACAATATACATTTATGAAAATAGTATTGTAATGCATTCTGCTCAAAAAGTATTTTGTTTTTGTTAACTACTCCTTAAGTAATAGACCTTTTTCAACCATTTTTGTTTTCATGTTGGTACACCCTCTCTTGGCATATGGTACAAATTTGAGCGCCATCTGTAAATTAGTTTATTTACAGCAGCTATTAATGTGAGACTACCTCAAGTACATTTAGCAATTTTTACTATGGAAAATTCTTGTTGTATGCGATTTTTTGACCAAACACGGCACCACTGTCATAGCTCAGGCACCATATTCGTCAGATCTGGCGCCGTGCGACTTTTTCCTGTTCCCGAAACTCAAATTGCCCCTTCGTGGTAAGCGTTTTGAGTCGATTGAATCGGTAAAAGAGAATTCGCCGAAGGAACTAAAAGCCATAACTGCACAGGCTTACGAAAAGTGTGTGGAAGATTGGGTTAAGCGTTGGCATATGTGTTTCGCTTCAGAAGGAGCATATTTTGAAAGAGATAAAATAAATGGAATAAAGTTCAAATTTGTGTGTTTTATTTACAAAATCCGAATACTTTTTGAACAGAAGGTATAAGTAAGCTCATTTCCGTAGTTATTTCTTTTATCAAAACTGTATGGGATTGCCATACAGTCACATCACATAATGTTTCTTCAATAACAATATATTTTTCGGTATTGTGATAAATATGAATATAAGTGTATGTCCGTAGATAATATTGTTATTGAAAACTTTCTTAAACTACTCGAAAGTCTCATTTTTCGAATCATCACATCCTATCCCATTAGCTATCCTATCCTATCCCATTAGCTATCCTATCCTATCCCATTAGTAGATGCATTTTATTTTCTTGATACATAAATTTTCAGTGTAGTTAAGTAATTTTTATTGAAAAATTAATAACTATTTACTTAGCATTATAATTTACTTTCAAATCAAATAATATTTCTATTTACTCTAACATCGCCTAATGCTTCATAACTCCAACAGCAATCTGATTATTCAATCAAGGCTTTTTATAAACTAATTGACTAGATTGCTTATCTAAAACAAGTGCATAAATATGATACTTTATGACTCTTATAATGGAAATGCATAATAATAATATTTTAAAGAATCTAATAGAGAAGTTGCGAATAATTTAATTGAAATAATTAAGCATTAAGCATCAAACAGCAGAATTAATCTTTAACCCAGTTGGATGAGAAAGATGGAATTTTGTTGTTATTTTCACATACTATACTTTGTCAGTGAATCTCGTCTTATCGTGTGTAGAACTTGCAAAATAGAGTTGTATGAAATACGACAAATTTAACTGGTGAAATAAATAATTTCTCGAAATGTTGCCAATGCATACAATTGCAATTGCAGTAA